TGGAAGTTTGCCTTTGTCTGCCCTTCAGTTACTGACATGCCCCATGCCCCTGGCCATACTGTATGATGCAGTTTCTTTGGCATCAGTCACAGTCCTGTAGAAACACCCACATTGAGAATGTGGGAACTGCCCTAGATTTCCTGGCTACACCAAGTTCTCTCTTAGCGAGAATTATCTCTGCAGTTGTCTGATCTCCCTGTCACGCTGATTCTCCCTAGCTGCAGTGTTGGGTAACCCTTCCTGGTCATGTTCTCCCTAATTCTGAAGGCTTCTCCTGAGGGAGTTTTCTCTGAGAATTGACTGGACCAGCACTGGGGAAGGGTTTGGTCCTGGGCTGGTAATCTCTCTGTGGGAGTCTTTGCTGAGAGCTGGACCATGCTGGTCTACTAGGCACCATTCAACATGTCCCAAGGCGGGCCTGGTCCAGGTCAGTGTTCATTGCTCCTGGGATGCCATTGCTCCTAGGCCTTCTCAGCTAATAGAGCTAGGAAATATGTGTTTATATACTAATACATGCCTATACACGTATCTATATTTCTTTCTATATCCATCTACATTTTTACATTTAAATCCGTGAGTTCATACTGTTGCCTGCAATTCCACCAGGATCACAGGATCCATTCAAACCTTCTTCTTTTTCTTATTTGTAACATCTTTCTCTGACAGAGAAATGGCTATCATTAACTCCAATATATTTACTTATTTGTTCAAAGTTAGTAGACACATAAAGTAGTTTCAGAATTACTAACCTGTACCCCTGTAAAAAAAGACAGTTACTTATGTTAATTTCTCTCCCATGCCCTTCAGTGTGGTTATGTTATTCATTTGTAATAGAATTAGGTTTATTCCTATTGTTAGTATTTCATTGTGGGTTCCCCCTCCACATCTTGGTTGGTCTAAATTATATACATGGGCGGACAGTATGTGAAATATTATCGTGGTTCCAAAAGTCAGAACTATACAGAAAGGTATATTCAGCAAAGCATTGCTCCCCTCTCATCCCTCATCCTTTATACCCCATTCTATCTCTCCCTGCAAATAACCTATCTCGTAAGTTTCTGATTTAAAAACATAAGACACTTCAAGAATTTGCATGTTATTCTTGTATAGGGGCCACGCTAATCTTCACTATATTGTTCTAACTTTAGTGTATGTGCTGCTGAAATTGAGCACTGGAGTGATCCTTTTAAAACAGAGACCAGATCGTGTAATCTCCACTCAAAACCCTCCAGCTGCTTCCTGCCACCGTTAGAATAAAATCCAAATGCCTTACTCCACCTTACTTCCTTTGAGATCTTCCATGATTTGGCTTCAGTTTCCTGTTTATTTTCTCTACTTTGTGCCCTCGCTCACTCTGCTCCAGCTACACTTGCCTTCTTGCTGTTGCCTGTATGCCAAGTTCTCACCTGCCTTCAGGCCTTTGCATTTGTCCTTCCCCAGGCCCGAAATGCTGCTCTACCCCCTGACATGCCCAGGGCTGGGTACTCTGGGTCTCTGGTAAACATTCTTCATAGGAGCTTTCCATAAACAGATCTCCTAGCACTCTCTAACTCTTTTTCTGGCTTTGTCTTCGTTCATGGTACTCATCACTACCTAGCATATGTAATATATTTATTTATTGTTTGTCTCCCCCACTAGAATATAAGCCCCATGAGGCAGGAGCGTTGTTTTGTTCACAGAGCTTAGAAGAGTGCCTGGTACATAGTCAATAAATAAGTTGTTGGTTAATATTTGATGAATGAAGTTTGTGTCAAATGCTTTACATGTATTATTTCATTTAATTTTCACCAAAAAACACTCTGAGGTGAGTACTATTTTTATTCCAGTCTATAGATGGGGAAATGGAGGGTCCAAGAGTCCAAGGCTTGCCCCAGTTTACAAAACTGGAACAGGGTTGACTGGAGATCTGGCCCTAGTTCTCTCTTAGTCCAAAGTCCATGCTTGTAACTTCCTGTGCTGTGCTAATGCATGCGTTTATAAACTGGGGGTTAGTGGTTATATTTGCCACACACAGTAATTGTAAAGATATAACATGAGTGTAGATTGTAAACTGTAAAGCACTGTATTGAGCACTATCAATATTATTGCTGGAATTATAGCTACCACTTATTAAGCGCTCACAGAACACCAGCCTGAGCTCTATATCATTCTGTCACTTAATTCTTACAGCAACCTTATGAAAGTAAAATGAAACGAATGGAAACTCAGCAAGAGAAGGTAACTTGCTCAAGGTGACAAAGCTGGTTAAGCCTGGCAGTCTCACTCTAGAGCTGGGGTGCTCAGCTGTCTCACTCACTGCCTCCCTGTCCCAAGCAAGGAACATACAGACATGCCTTTGTGAACTCCTCGTTGCTTTTTCACTATCAGGTAACCTATTCCTGGAATTCCAAGAGGAGTTGGAGCGAGTCTATAAGTTCTACTGTGCCAACTATGACCAGGCCTTGCTGCTGGTAGAGTCGTACAGGAGGGAGCCGGAGCTGCAGCGGGAGATCCAGGGCATCATTGAGTCAGTGATGTGAGTAGAATGACCTTGCTACACTTACCCCAAGGTCAGGGGCCATTAAGGTGTCACCTTCATTTGTTGCTACTCTCACTGCTTCAGGGATGTCTCAATCAGGAGAGGATAGACTATGCTGCAGAAACAAACAACTCACAACTCTCCATGGTGGCTTCAAACCACAAAGGTTTATACTTTCCTTTTGCTCCACTGTGGGTTGACTTGGGGCTCTTTACATCATCCTCACTCTGGGACCCAAGCTGACAGCAGCCACTATCTAGAATATCATCATTAACTGTGGCAAAGATAAAAAGAGTTCTAGAAGGTCTAATGTTGATAATTAAATGCTGTAGCCCAGAAATGATATCTGTTGCTGCTCATAATTCATGGGCCAGAACTAATACCATAGCTTCATCCAACTTCCAGGAGGCCAGGTAGTGCTATCCTGTCATGTGTCCAGACATGAAAAAGTAGGAACTGTTGGTGAACAGCTCTTATGACACCACAGGAAGGTTAGCGAGATGCAGGGAATCATGTGCTGGAAGCAATAGTGTTGGGAAGCAGGTGAGTATCACCTAGGGGGGCCTCTCTACAGATGGCTGAAGTCTTGCCCCATGGGAGAGGATCATACTGCCCTGGGTGGCAACATTGGGTGGAAGCTTCAGGTAGAGATATACAGAGAATAAACTTTTTAAATTAAAAATTTGAATGAGTAACATAGTTACATGGTTCAAAAGCTTTAAAACATTCCAAATTTAATGGTAAAAAAAAATCTTTTCTACCTTGCCCCTCATCCACCCAACTGCTACTCCCACCCCAAAGTTACGGTAACTACTTTTAAATTTTGTATAGATTTTTGCAGAGTTCATTTATGCATATAAAAGCAAATTCAAATATATAGCTGTATAGAGTTCCTTAACAGGGCGGGTTTATGGTTTATTTAACCATTGCCTGTTGGTAGGTATTTGGGTTGGTTCTAAATTTTTACTGTCCTAAATACAGTTGCTGAATAACTTCGACTTTAACTTCTACCTTGCTCACTTGAGTTGACATTTCTGTGGGTAGATTTCTAGAGTCGGATTGATAGAACAAAGGGTTTGTATATTTCATGTACTGCCAAACTGCTCTCCAAAGAGACCTCACCAATTGATATTCCCACTGAGAGAATGTAAGAAGGCTTGTTTCCTCACACTCACCGAGCTCTGGGTATTATCTTGTACTTTTTGCAGCCTATCTAAAAGGCTGCATACAATTTTTTTTTCCCCTCCAAATTACTGTAGGAAGGCTGTACATGTAAAAGGCTGCCATAATTCTGTAGTGATTCCTTGATGATTGTGGGGAAGAGATGTGATCATCTCTTTGAAGACCCCCTTGCCCTCTGGTTGGTGAGGTGACAGGTGTCCCCATGAGGCAGGTGGTCCTTTCCCATGGAAAGTAAGCCGAGGACAGAGTTTCGCAAACATGTGGCAATTGTTTCCACCTCCCTTGCCCATGGTCATCCAAACACTAGGAAACCCTTGGTGGGAGCAGATGGTCAGCGTAGGTATGTCCTGATGGTGATCCTAGCCCTGCCTCCCCACTTCCTGCAGCTAACGAGGGGGCTCCCACCTGCTCTGCCTATTTTTAGCTTCATGGCTGAACTTTCCTAGCCATTTGGTCTGGAGATTTTTTCTTAGGAGAAAGAGTAAGAGGCCAGGGTACCATGGAGAGGGGGCCAGAGAACCACGGAGAAGGGGCCAGAGAACCACGGAGAGGGGGCCAGAGAATGGTCGTGAGCAGTGTTTGTGAGTCTTCTTGGAAGAAGTATGCTTGGACATTGAGGTTTGAAATCCTCATGGGTTTCTCAAAAAGCAGGGCTGAGGGCTACTGGTCATGATTAAGGAAAGACTATTGGAGATATCCTAGATGTCCCAGATGCCATTGACTTGGACACTTTCTGCAAATTCTAGCCGCCATCAAGAAGGGGATTAGAGAAACAGTCATCCATTTGTGAAATAGTGCATCTGGAAGGGTCCTTGACACTATTAGCTCCTGTTTCTGTTTTCTTTGTTTACTTTTCTAAAAGAAAAACTTCAAACCTATAGAAAAAGAATGTAATGAACACTTGCATACCCACAACCTGAAATGAACCAGTGCTAATCTTTTGCTGTTTGCTCCATCTATTTTTATGCTAAACTATTTAAAGGAACATTCAGATATTATGATTTTTTCCTTTAAATACTTTAAATGCATCTCCAAGCATTAAGTTTCTGTCATTTTTAGAAGTTTTTTTTTTTTTTTAACTAAAGCAGCAGAACCATTTATGACATAAAATAGCATGTGGATGCCCAATATATAGTGTTGTGTTTGAGACATATCTGAGTGAAGGCAGTTGACCGTGTGAGTCTGAAGCTCTGGACAGAACTTGGAGGTGGAGATAGGGTTTTGGGATGTGTTTAAAGCCATAGGACTAAATGAGATCAGTAAGAGAATGGGTGGGGAGCAGGGAGAGGAGGCCTCAGAGCACTCTAGCATTGGAGAGAGGCCAGCAGAGTTGGCCAAGAGAGCGGCCTGTGGAGTAAGAGAAGCAGGGCAGAGGGTGTCTCTGGCGGTTCTGGGGGCAAAAGAAGAAAGTGTTTCAAGAAAGAGGGACTGGTCAGCTGTGTCTGCTGTTGAGTGAGTGAGAGGCCAAGGGCAGAGAATTGACCATTGGGTTTGATACAAATGGAGAACCGAGCCCCAGAAAGTGAAAACTTAAAAGCGCCTATCTAACCTCTAGACCTCACAAATCACAAATGAAGAAAATGAGAACCACAGAAGGAGGTGGTTTGCCCGAAATCACTCAGCGACTTCAATGGCAAAGCTGGGATTAGAGCCCGGTCCCTCTGGTGCCCCAAAGGGTAGGCTTTACCTACCTAACATAAGCCTTCTCCCTCAGGCCACAAGCTGGACCTTCAGGCCTCAGTTTCTTGCTGGTAATCCCTCTCCAGAGGATTACCAAGTACCCATTGCTGCTGCAGAAAATTCTGGAGAACACACTCCCTGATGCCAGTGCCTATCCTGTCCTTCAGAGGGCCGCCTCTGCCCTCCAGGATGTGAACACCAACATCAATGAGTACAAGAGGCGCAAGGAAGTGGGTAAGCACCTGGGGAGGTTAAAGGATACATCGGTGAGATTACTTCAAATTATATAACAAAAAAAATCATCTCACCAATTGGCTTCACCAATACAGGGAAGGTAGTAGCTCATGTAACCTCAAGTCCAGAGGTAAGTGTTCATTAGGTAGGGTTTGCTCAGGGTGCTAGCTCAGTTTGCCTCTAATTCTCTTGTCTCTGCTCTTTACTGTGTCACCTTCATTTCCAGGCTGCCTTCCCTCATAGTAGTAAATGGCTGTTGCTGTTCCAAGACTCACATCTACATACCACACCCTCCAAGATACAACAAAGCCATTCTCTCTTTAGCCATAAAAATTAAATTATAGCTTCACTCTGATAGGACCCGCTTGAGTCATGTGCTCACCCTGAACCAATCGCCATGGTTAGGGGAATACCATGAGCTGATTGGCTTAGGCCTGGGTTATGTTCCCTTCTTTGAACCAATTACTGTGGCCAGGAGGATGTGATTATATGGATTGGTTTATACCACTCAGCACCTACCCCTTGAACTATAAAGTGAGATTAATCCCATCCTAACCACTTGCCTGCTATTCTTTGGAGAAGAAATGAATACCGGAGAGGCAAAGGACTGTATATCTGGACAGGGGAAGGCGGGAAGTGGAGATCCTGCCTCTCAGTTAAAATAGAAAGGTTTGGAAAATGAAGCAGCGTCTCGAGTAGGGAGAAACTCATTTGTACTACTGAGACTGTAGTACTGATAATTTAGCTAATGTTTACTACAGGCTAACTATGACACATTTTTCATTTGTTGTCATGTTTGATCCTTACAATAGCCCTAATCAGGTTGGCACTGTTAGCCTCATTTCACAGGGTAAAATGAGAGCTTCAGTCATGTGCTCCAGGTCACAGAGCCGGTAAGGTACAGAGCCAGGTTTCAAACTCAGATCTGGGGTCTGGCGATCAGTAGAAAGCCCTGAGCCAGGAATGGAAAAGTATGGTCCGAGCCTGCCCAGGCTGACAGTGACTGAAGGACCTCAGGCAAATCACCTGTTGCTTGGGTTCTTCTTTAGAAAGTACATTCAGACCCATCATCTTATGTGATCCTCCCAGCAATCCTGTGAGCTGGCTGGCTTCATTTATAGATGAAGAAACTAAAGCCCAAGAAGTAGTGACTTGCCAAAGTGAAGCAAGCAGGAAGCTGTTCAGCTGGGGCTCACACCTTGGAGTGAGGGATCAGCCTCATGTCTGTCGTCCGTGACCTGCCATTCTAATGGACGTGACCCTGATGTTTGAGAAGAGGGCCCAAGCAGGTGCCTAGCCAGGCGTGTCAGGGATGCTTGCTTTCCTGGGTCACCTTCTGTCCCTATGCCCTTCATCTCTGTTGATGCAGCCTCCAAGTACACCAAGGTGGAGCAGCTGTCCCTCCGGGAGCGGCTGGCCCGCATCAACACACACACCCTCTCCAAGAAGACCAACCGGCTGAGCCATCTGCTGAAGCAGGAGGCAGGGCTTGTGCCCAGGGTGAGCACGATCAGGAGGAAGAGTCATGTCTCAGTCATCCCAAGGGGCAAGAAAGACTGTGCAGTGGGTGGAGAAGGAGGCTTAGACCACTTTCAGAGAAGAGTAAGCTGAGTTGAAGGGAAGTAAGCAATTTGCCAGCAATGATAGCCAGGAGGAGGTAGAATTGGGACCACTTGACTCTAAGGAGCCAGGGGAAGGCTTTTCCCACTGCACCTTGTGCTATTGGATCTCTCTCTCTGAGGTCTCTTTACACAGATAAGGGAGCTAATCTTTGGGTCTGGGCATGGAACCAGCCTCGAATAGCTACCAGTTGATCAAGTACTTACTCTGAATCAGGCATTACTTGATCCACACACTGAAGTAAGTACTCTTTTTATACCCCAGCTCCTCACCATTTTGTAGATGAGAGGCTCAGAGAGGGTAAAACACTTGCCCAAGATCACACAGCTTGGAAGCAAGCGAACCAGGACTCATATGCTCGTGTGTCTGATTCTGTGATCTGAATACAAAACCACTAAGCTGCATTCGCTGCCTTTAACTGTCCCCTCCAGCTTTGGGGCGGGAGGAACTGGCTCTGATGGCAGGTCTGCGTAAAAGTGGTCCCCAGGGAAGACTTGGGATGCGGGTACAGGGTGTACACTGCCCCCATGTGGATATTCTTGGTCCTCACAAGCATAACTTCACTTTCAGACAGAAGACAAAGAATTTGATAACTTAGAAGAAAGGTTCCACTGGGTGTCGCTGTGTGTGACCGAGCTGAAGAACAACATGGCCGTTTACCTGGATAACATGGAGGTAGAGAGTCCCGCAGTGAATAATGGGCCGGGCCTGGCCGGATTCCCTGGCCAGAGGGCATGCGGGTCCCATCGCACAAGCACCAGCTGCAGGAACCAAATGGAAGAGATCGTCCAGTGGCTGGCTGCAGGCCAGAAGAGGGCTCATTGGATTCGGGCAGGTTCTGAGCCCGTTGAGCTTTCAGGGAGTGGGGTTCCCACTGGGCAAGGTGGGGTTCCCACAGGGGATGGGTTTCCCACAGGGCAAGGTCAAAATTCCCTGGCGTCAGAGCCCTCAGAGGGACCCTGCCAGACTGGTACTCAGAGCAGGGGTGACAAACTCAGGCTTAATATTACTGAGCAAAGCGTGCAGGTGTACAAAGCCTGTTTGTTTATGAGGCTTTCTTGGTAGTTAAATAGGTAATAATATTTAGAATTTGAATGACCAAATGAATGAGTAAAATCTAAAGGGCAGTTATTACTTGATTCGGGGAAGATGGTGCTGTGTGGCAATGTGGGCCCAGTGCTGTCAGTTCTGATTTTTAGGAAAAAAGAAAATTGGAAATTCAGACTTTTAGGTACAATGTCATGATGTGTTCATGTGAGCAACTAACTAAATAAAAATTTAAATGTTACGTAGGTCCAAGAAAATGCATGTTTCTACACACCAACTTCAGCGCACAGGAACTGCAGGCTGCATTCCCATCCATCACGTCACTTTCCCTGTGCCAACCTCCCCCCACCCCATTCTTGTCATTGACGCCGACTCATTCCATCCATTCTGTTCCTTTTTACGTGGTTTTGTTCTCAGTCATGTCCATTTGCGCAAACCAGCTCGGTCAGACGATAATGGGCTGTTCGGGTAGCTGTTTGAGTGGCGTTATCGGAAGTGTGTTTGAGGAGGGGGTGGTAGTTTCCCACTTCTCCGCGTTAGCAGATCTCCCTGCTAGTTCCTGCTCCATCCCGGGCCCCCAGTGGAAGGATGTGAGCAACACAGGGAGCTGGAAAAGAAAAACACTCAGAGCCATGACATGAAAAGGAACGGAGGGGTCTTTAGAGAGAGAACCCAGAGTCACAAGACATGCCTGGCTTTGCAGGGGAGGATGAATATTTGGAAGCTTCAGGCTGCATTTCTCTAGACACAGGACTTACACGACAGATACAGTGTTGACATGGAATTCCGTGGCGAGAAAGTGACTCCCTCTGTTAATCCTCGGAGTCCAGGAAAAGCCTCTTTTGCTGGCATCTCTTTAGCACAGGCAGAGCCAGTTTCTGGCTGGAAGCCTTCAGCAGGCAATGACATCCAGACAGAACTTAATAACTTTGTTTTTATAGCAGTTATTCTTGCACGCCTATTTATGGCAATTATTACTGGTTTTCCCTTTGTGGTACTATCATAAGGTGTTTCTTTAATGCATCAATTTAAATAGGAATGCTTAGTTAACTTATAGAAAAGTATTAATAGAATGCATGGGATATGGACATGGCAAAAAAAAAAATCACAAAGAAGACGGGCAAATGTGTAAAGTTTGGGGAAGTGCTTTGGACAAGGAGAAAGATGTTAGTCTAAGGAAGAACTTTCTAATCAACCCAGTTGTCCAAGGATAGAATAGGCTAGATGCTTCCCTGTCAGGAGGGATGTGCAGGCAGCCTGGACAACCTCTCTAGGAATATGGAGGAGGAAGATTCAGGTGTGAGATGGCTATCACAGGCCATGATTGGCTGTCTCTCATTTCCCTGGGTCCAGGCTTTCCTCCGCTTCTGGCCACAGGAATGCGTTCTGGACATCTGCGGGGGGCCTGTGCTGCAGTACTGCAACCTGGCGAGAGACCTTCAGCTCCAGGCTTTCCCTGAGTTTGTAAGTGGAACTTCTCCTTGCCTCTTTGTCTCTTGAGCAGCTGACAGAGCCTATAAGAATAATCTTTAGACGTCAGGCCCTTTACGTGATTGTCACATCCATAACCACCCTGGGTAGTCAGCAGGGCAGAGATTATTAATAGTGCATTTTACTGATAAAAATAGCCCCAGCCGATGTTTACTGAGCCTGTCTGCCAGGCAATGCGATAAGCCTTTTACATTCTTCACCTCATTTAATCCTCACAACACAGCTTACAGGGTAGATTCTATTAATAGCCCATTCTGCAGATGAGAGCAGAGGCTCAGAGAGGGTGAACGCCCAGGTTACTCAGATAGTCAAAGTGAAGATGGAATCTGAGCCCCCAAATCTATGCTTTGACCACCACTCTTTATAAAATCTTTTGCAAGATCTGTGCACAATATCGATATTAAGAAATGGCATACCTATTGAATACCTATTCTGTGCCATGCACTCAGCTAATCTAGTTACCTGCATTGTCCCCATTTTTCAGATGGGCACACTGAGTCCCAGAAAGGATAGATAATATGCTAGAGGTGACAGCTAGTCAGTGAGGGGAGGGCTGGAGCCCAGGCCTGCCTATCTGCCTACCTATAGCCCCTTTACCCAGTGCCCACGCTCTGCCATCTCTTTCCTGGACTCCCAAGTTTGTCTCTCCCCACAGAAGCAGAGGCTGGAAGGCCTGGTCTGGCAGCCGCTGTGCAGCCTGGCCAAAGCCCTGGGCGGCCCTCAGAACCTGATCAAGAAGCGTCTGGACAAACTACTGGACTTTGAGCGGCTGGAAGAGAAGCAGTTGGAGGAGGGCAGCATGACCTATGAGGAGAAGGAGGCCTGGCACACGTACCAGGCGCTCAACTCCCTGCTGGTGGCTGAGCTCCCACAGTTTAACCAGCTGGCCGTGCAGTGGCTGGGCCAGATCCTGTGTACATTCATGGCTCTCCAGAGGGACTTTGCAAAGCAAGCGCTACAGAGGGCAGAGGGCACTTTGGCCCAGGTAAGGCCTCTGGGACTGGGACAGCTCTGGGGGAGTAGCCAGGCGAGGCCTTGAAGCCCCTTCAGCTCTTTGTCTGCAGGGGCTGTGATGGAGGGTGGACCTTCTGGACAGATCCTCAGGTGCTTAAGAGGAGGCTGTAGGGACCTTGTGGGGATCTCTTGTGCCTGTTCCCTCTCCATTAATGGAGTCGGACCATGAAAACAAGAATAGAACTTGGATTCCAGCCCAGGCTCCAGAACTCAGAAGCAGAGGAAGCTCTGATGGGAAAATGGTAGACCTCGAGGCCATTCCCTGGAGTGGATTAGAAGTTGGCAGAGACAAGGCCCCTTCTTCGTAGTCAGGAGTGAATGTGTCCAGCTGGTGTTCCTGCTACACTCACTGCTTCTAGCAGCCGCCTTCTCGCGCGCGAGCACTTACCGTGTACCTGTCTGGAGCATCGTCTGTGCATTATATCACTTACTCCTTGAACACCCCTACAGACTAAGTTTTATTATTATCTTTATTCAAAAGGATACTGACGCACAGCCGTTTGCCCAAGGCCACACAGCCAGAAGTGGGATGTGAACCCTGACAGGTCACCTCCAGAGCCCGGGCTCTGGACCAAATGCTCAGCAGCCTGTAAGAGAAGCTGTCTGCTGAAAGCAGAAATAGGTTGCAAAGAGGTTTGGACAAACCTCCAAATGCAAACTTTGATTTTCGAATTTTGAAGACGGGGGTTGAATCCTTAGCTGCTTTCAGGTCTCTCTCTGATGTCAACATCAGAACTGAATGGTCTGTGGGTCCAACCTCGGGAGCAGTTTCAGTACTCCTGATACCACACGTTGTCTCCTTTGCTTCCTGTTCCCCAGCTCGGCTTTCCCATCTATTCCTTTGCATGAAAATTATTCTAAAATTTGCCCCCTTTACTACCTCCCCCACCACCACCCCATAGTCCCACTCTATGCCTGTAGCCCCCACTTGCAGCATGCTACTTCTGAGTGTGACTCTGGTCCCTTTGCACAGACTCCTTCCTTGGTCTGGACACCCCTCCCCATTGTCCCCCAGGCCTTTCACAGTGTCTGTCATGTGGTAGGAACTCCCCAAATATCTGACAGGTGAATGAATCTTTCCGTGAAGCTCTCAGAATTGCCCTTTCCCAGGTGGAAGACCCCATCTCCCATCCTCTGTACTCCAGCAGCCCTGAGGATGTATTGCTGCTAAGCACTTATCAGAGCCAGCCTTCTGCTGGGGTGATGGATGAAGCTGTTTTTCCTCATTAAGAGGGCCTGGGACTATGAGCTTTTCTTCTTTTTGGCCCTCGCAGCATTTAGTACAGAGTTCTGTCTCAGACACTCTTTTTGAATTGAATTAGGCCTGAACCATCTGCCATAAGAAGCATTTCTCTTTCCTGAAGGCAGAGGGTAAATCTGATTAGATGATCTTTTCATTCTCCTCTCGCTCTCTAATTTTCTCTCCAGGGCTACCAGACCCCCTTGTATTTAGGCTGCAATGTGCGGGGCTGGGGAGTGTCTTCAGATGCCAGTAGGGGAGGTCAACTTTATAAAAGCAGAAAGAGAGCATTTCTTGCTTGGTTCTGTAATGTAGAATGTTAGAGCCTGTCAGTGACCGATGCCGTCTTCCTTGTCTGTATCCCACGACCCACTCACCTGGATTTGTCCCGCGGAGCTTGGGAAAGTGCTGCGTGGTAGAACCTCAGTCTGTCAGCACAGGGGTGGGGCAGGCTCTAAATGAGAACCAAGAGCAGAAGAGCAGTGAGTTTGGTGCCAAGCAGAGAGGACAAGTCTCTGTTAGCTGTGGGGTCTCACTCACTCCTAGATTGTCAGATGAGAGTGCAGGAGATGCCCAACAGGGTCAAGGTGGCTGGACAGTGTTACTCAGAACTCCTGTAGCCAGTTTAGGCATAAAGAACATTGACTTGCACACCTGGGAGGCCATGAGGAGGTCGTGCTAAAGCCTGGCTGCATTCAGTACAAATAACATCGTCAGGGCTCTGACTTTCGCTCCATCCCTGGTGCTGTTTCCCTCTCTGGGTGTAGCAGGAACACCATGCCTTTTCCTGCATGGTGGGAATGGTGGCTCCCAATAGCTCCAAGCGTGAACTTTTACATCTCAGAACCCAAAGGAAGAGTGACCCTCGGATTCCTAGCTGTCACATGCTGAATCTGATGAGGGCATTCCGATATGGCCTTGCTTGGGTCTATTGTCCAGTCCTTGGACTGATCATGGTGGATAGGAGAAGGGAGGCCACAACTGCCAGTTCTGTGGCTAGAGCACCGTGACTGGCAAGTCTCTGGGACTGCCGTAGAAGGTGCTTTCTCAAAGGAAAGTGGGACAGTAGCCAGGCAACAAATGATAGCTGGCCAAGATAAAAAGGCCCATCATGACACATCTGAGGCGAGCATGTGGGCTGCCAGGATCTCCCTGTCCCCTCTCCCTCGAAGAAGGTTGTGATGACAGTGTCTGTTCCCACCCAGCTGCCCCACCACCAGCTGTCTGAGCCAGCCTTCAGGAAGCTGGTGGAGGATGCACTAGGCCAGGCTGGTCACCAGCTTTGCTCCTTTCAAGAGAACTTCAAGAAAGTGCTGCCACCTCCGACCATACAAGTAAGTGTCCCTCCTTCCCCTGCAAAGACTGTCCAGTCCTCCACCTGCCAGTGGGGGTGAGGCTCAGTCTCTTATTTCCTCTCTCTTTTCTTTTTCCATTGTCTCCTGTTGCCCATGAAACATTCTCCCTCTCCCTTTCTCCTTTCTCTGTGTGAGCTGGGGAGTGGGCGTCAGGTGGGAAGCACACCCCATACACACTCGTCTTTCACGGCCAATAAGCAAAAGAGCAGAACAGAACTCTTGGGTCGAGAATAAGGGAACCCAAGCATTTTAATAGTAAGCAAAATTAGGTATAATAATGGGCAAGTAGCATTAACATCCGCAAACCTAGAACTTATTCAAATTTTTTACCATAATTTCCCATTTCCTCACCACCTTCTCACTGAACCTGCTCTCAATACCAGCATTTGGGATGAATAAAAAGTTTGAATAAGGAATCATTTAAATTCTTTTTTTTTTTTTTGCTATGAATTTTTTAAAGGTATAGTTGACATACAACATTATAGTAGTTTTGAGTATATTTGACATTTATATACTTTACAATATAATTGCCATGATAAGACCATCTGTCACCATATGAAGTTATTATGGTATTATTGAGTATATTCCTTGTGCTGTACATTGTATCCCCATGACTTATTTATTTTTTAACTTGAAGTTTGTACGCTATCAAATTTTTATTTATTTATTTATTTATCTATCTGTCACCATATGAAGTTATTATGATATTATTAAGTATATTCCTTGTGCTGTACATTGTATACATTGTATCCCCATGACATTTATTTTTTAACTTGAAGTTTGTATGCTATCGCATCTTTATTTATTTATTTATTTATTTATTTATTT